TATCATCTCTCAAGATCTGACTTGAGCGTTGGAGGCTCTTCACCGGAAAACACCTCCGGTGTGGGAGTTTCGTGCAGGTTCCGCGTTCAACCGGCGAGGAAGGCAAGCTTAGAACAATTTCCAGCCGGTCCGGGTGCGAGACTTGTATTACCTGAGATCAGCCATTTGGGAGGGATTTTTTTTCTTAGGAATCAAGGTAATAATAGCATGATTAATACCCTTAGGGATTCTCCCACTAGAGAAAAAATTATGAATAGCCTCAACAACATGCCCCTTAACAATAGACCAGGAACTAAGAAAGAAGCCAACAGTTAATCCATCTTCCACTGGAGCTTTGTCTTGATGCATATCTTTAAAGTCCTCCTCAATTTCTTTCTCTGAGACAATCTCAAGGAGTCTTGAGTTCATCTCAGGAGAAATAGAGGAAGGGATCCCCTCAAGATTACAACTTTTTACACAAGGGTTAGAAGATTTAAACAGATTGACAAAATACTGCTCAATCACACCTATAGTCTCCTGTTCATTTCTACATTTAGACCCATCCAACTTACACAAGTTATCCAAGGCATTATATATTCTTTTGTGATTCACAGAAGCATGAAAAAATTTAGTATTTTTGTCCGCACTTTTAAGCCAATTAATCCTAGCTTTTTGCTGCCAAAAATTTTCTTCATGCTTATAGGCTAAGTGAAGCCTATTTCTACAATTTCTCCACCCTTCCCAATCCCTATCAGCACCTAAAGACTCAAACTCACTCATTTTATCCTTCAACTTCTCAATCTCCTTAGCAGAGTTGTGGGAAAATGTGGGTAACCATCCAAGGATAGCTTTCCTCACACTCCTGACTCTACTTTGAATATTATAAAGGCTGAAGCCATCCACATGGATATTCCAAGCCTTAGAAATCAAATCCTGATACCCTAGGTTTTGGTTTTTGTGTTTCTCTCCTGGGAGCGTGTTTCTCCACTTGTGGGAGTATGTTTTTCTCCACTTGTGGGAGCTGTAGTTTGTGTTAGTGGGTGTGTTGTTTTGTGTTTCTAGTGCAGGTTCTAGGCGACCTCTGGGTCTGTCCTCCCACTAGATTCAGCTCTATAGCTGTTTCTTTCAGCTATTTGGCTATTTCTAGATGTAATTATTTGTGTTTTTTTTCTAAAATTTTATCGGTCCCAAAAAAAAGTCTACATTATTCGAACAATTAGAATTATTTTGGTCAAACATATAGTCAAACCTCATTATTGTATATTGTATTTTTACTAGCAGATCATGAATATCTCTGCAAAATAATCAATCGTGTCATTAAGATTGCTGATATTTTTTTATCATTATATAAACTAGTACATTATTATCTCTCCATATAGACAAGTTGGTACCTACCACATGGAGACATCTCATCTCCAAATAAAAGTTGACAGTTCAATAACTTTGTTACACATACTTCTCCCGAGATGCTAAATTACTTTTTGTAATCATCACGCATTACATAAAAACTAATTTATTTTTTGAAATCATCACATATTACATGAAAGTATATATTTTAAAGTAATTGCACATATGTTCAAGTGCAATATACCAATGAAATTGTAAATATTTTTATCAAAAAGTGACGACTTCATTCAAACATTCAAGAATATTTTGATCAGACTTCGACATTCTCTCTTCAGTGTTATTTATTTGAAAGATAGACGAACTATATAATCTATTGTTTGCAAATCATTGAACTTCTTAGTTGTTGCAATGATTTCAAAGTTGTTTATCATAATATCTTTCACATTTATTCGGATTTGCAATAATAATGTGCCTGATAACTACTTTAATGCATTTATTGTCCAAACTTTTGCATCATGCATAATTCTTACAAAATTTAAGTTAAATATCTTTTTTGGATTCTTCAACAATGGAAAAAAAAAACATGAGGCAATATTGAGAAACATATAATTTGTTAAAATATTCTAGAGGAGAAAAATTAAAATTCTAATTGAGAAACATATAATTTGTTAAAATATTATAGAAGAGAAAAATTAAAATTCTATTATATTATGATAATCTGAGTCGTTTTTGAACTTTTTTTATAACAAAGGTGTTGTCTCACATTTGAACATTTACAGTCGCGCAACATTTACAGTCGCGCAAAGGTGTTGTCTCACATTTGAACATTGGACGCGTTTAATGCGAAGCATTTGGTGCCATTCAATAGTGACAATTCAGATGCAGATGAGATTGTGTCAGATTCGAGGGCGAATCCTTTTTCAAGCGGAGGGAGTTGTGGAGACGAAATTGCATTGACCTTTTTGAACAAGCATCGTCTAAGCTCATTAATTTAATTATTTATTTCCTTTATTGTTAATATCTTCATTTTAGTTTTGGTAGGATAATATTTATTTATTATTTATTCTGTTTTTGTGCTTATTTTCGTATGTTTTTTGTGTCTTAGTCGAGCCTTTTCAGGTTCATTTTGGTGTCGACCAGTCTATTTTATCGTACTTTATGTATTTTTGTTCATTTCGTGTGTTATTGTATTTTTCTAGATTTTGTTGTCTCTCCTAGTGTGTTGTTTAGGTCCAATTTGCAATTTGTGGAAGACATACAGTTCGTGCCATTTTCGAGCCACCCAAGCCATTGACTGAACCAATCGAGTCGTGCGAGAGAGAAAATCGAGACTCGATGCGTGCCCAACCCCCCTACGCACTCGCGGCGAGCGGCATTTCTCGAGCATGCGAACCGTGCACGAGAGACCTGTACCAAGCGCGACACTCACTGTGAACCTCCTTTCGCGCGCCACGAACGCGCCCGAGTGCCACCAAGCTGTCGGCACTCGCTGCGAACCAGCGTTTGCGTGTCGCAAACGCATCCTGCCAGCTCGAAGCACACTACACATTCGTAGTGAAACCACTTTGGCGGCCAGCAAGATGCGACCAGAGGCACCACTCCTTAGCACTTGCTGCGAACCCGAGTTTGCGTGCCGCAAACGCCACCCTACCACTCAACCACATGCCACACTCGCTGCAAAACCAGTTTCGAGACCCGCGAACTGAGAATTTTAGTAAGTGTGTGTTTGTGGTGTAGCTATAAATAGACATTGTGCTTTGTATTTATGGACATCACCCCTCATTTCCCAACTTTTAAGTTGGGAAACAGCTCTCTTTTTATTTATTTCTCTCTAGTTTTGTGTTGAGAGGTTCATGACTCAAAATTTTCGACGAAATTCAGGCGACATTATTCTAATTCAAGATTTGAGCTTTACGCACTATTTTTATTCGAGCTTGCTATAGGAGGGTAAGTACCTTGATTACGTCTTATTACTTCGAGGTTGTTTCCTTCTTGCTTTGTTAAATTGGTTTATTGGCCGGAATCTTGTGTGATGTTCGATATTAGGACTTTACTTTATTTTCATTGTTTTCTTACGTATGTTGGTAATTCACTACGTGCTTATCTTGTAAAAATGTCTCGACTTTGCTCAAAGCGTGATGATTTTGTGTGGAAAGCTCGTGTTAGATTAGTTAGGATCACTTTGCTCGCATGTTTTCTCTTATTTTTCTTTATATTGAGGTATGGAGACCTCGTGCAACTAAAGTTCAAACATTTTCTTCCAAATCTCTCACCTTTCTTCAATTGCTTTTAATTCGTAGTTTCAATTAGCTTAATCAACCCACCCAATCAAGCGAGTAACATGTGTATGACCTTATTTTCGGTTATGTGAATTGACTACTAGATAGTGAATGAACCTCCAAACAACCTTCCTCGAGAGACACGGCCCGAGGTCGATCTTTCGATCGTACTCGACTAAAAACTACAAACATTTAGTAAATCGTTATTTACCACCCCTTATTACTACGTACCGCTTCCTTCAATGACTTTGTTGCCCTCTCTCTCTCTCTCTCTCTCTCTCTCTCTCTCTCTCTCTCTCTCTCTCTCTCTCTCTCTCTCTCTCTCTCTCTCTCTCGGCCCCGCGGTCGTCCACCGGCGGCCAGACGGTATCTTTTAATTATTTAATTAATTATATGTATATAATTATAAATAGGTTATATATATAATATAATTATAATTAATATAATTTTTATAAATAATTATAAAAAATATAATTATAATATATATATGTTAATTATAAGAAAATATAATTAATTAATTATATATAATATAATTATAAAAATAATTTAATAATAAAAAATATATATTAATTAGTTGTAAAAATTCTAATATATAAAAAACATAATGTTTAATATAAAAAATATATTTAATTAATTATATTTAATATAATTAATAAAATAATTTACAAATAATGTATATACATATATATTAATTAGTTGTATAAAAAAACATTCTAATATATAAAAAATATTATATTTAATATAAAAAATTTATATTAATTATAAAAAATATAATTATAATATATGTATATATATTAATTATTAAAATATATAATATTTAATATATAAATATATATTAATTATAAAAAATATAATTATAATATATATGTATTAATTATTAAAGTATAATAAATTAATTATATTTAATATAACAAATTTATGACAAAATAATATATAAAATTCTAATATAATAAAAAAAATGGTTTTTTAGTTGGGCAACACTCAACACTTATCTTGCTCCATATTTATTTCCCCTAATCCTTTTATTGTTAGGCAAGTTATTTATCTAGAACTTTTATTAGCAATTCTATTTAAATGACTCACTTTCTATTGTTTTAGTTGGTTGATTTTAATTGAAATAAAACATATATAGATAATATTTCACTCTTGGTATATGTTCACACTATGCATGTCACTTTAGTTCGAATACAGAGAGTAAAAGTAAACGTAAAAGTTGAACCAAAAAAAAAAAAAA